TTGACTACATTGAGGAAGGTCCCTTCTATACCCATTTTGGTGAAATTTTTCACCATAAACGGGTGCTGGATTCTGTCAAATGTTTTCTCTGCATCTATTGATATGATCAAATGGTTTTTATCTTTTCTTTTATTGATATGATGTATTATGTTATTTGACTTCCAAATGTTAAACCATCCTTGCATCCCCGGGATGTATCCTACTTGGTCGTGGTGTGTGATCTTTTTGATGAGTTGTTGGATTCTATTTGCTAATATTTTGTTGAAGATCTTCGCCTCAGTGTTCATCAGGGATATCAGCCTCTAGTTTTCTTTTTTTAATGGTGTCTCTGCTTGCTTTTGGTATTAAGGTGATATGTGCCTCATAGAAACTGTTTGGGGATGTTTCTGTTTCCTTGATTTCCTGGAAAAGCTTGAAAATAACTGGCAATAGGTCCTCTTTAAATGTTTGGAAGAATTCGCTAGTGAATCCATCTGGACCTGGGTTTTGTTTTTGGGAAGAATTTGATTACAATTTCAATTTCCTTGATATTGATGGGTCTATTCAGGTATTCCAAATCATCTTGGTTCAGTCTTGCGAGGTTATAGGAATCCAGGAATTTATCCATTTCTTCTAGATTCTCTTGTTTCATGGCATACAGACTTTCAGAGTAGTCTCTGATGATCTTTTGAATGTCTTTGGTTTCTATTGTGATATCCCCTTTTTCATTTCTGATTCGGTTTATTAGGGTTCTCTCTCTCTCTTTTGATGTTGCTAATGGTTTATCGATATTTTTTATTTTCTTAACCAGCTTTTGGTTTCATTGCTCTTTCGGTTTGTTTTTTGGGTTTCCATGTTGTTGATTTCTGCTCTAAGTTTTATTATTTCTTTCGTTCTGCCTGGTTTGGATTTCTTTTGTTGGTCCTTTTCTAAGGTCTTGAGCTGTGAGGTCAAGCTATTTATGTGGGCCATTTCTTCCTTCCTGAGATATGCTTGCAGGGCTATAAGTTTTCCCCTTAACACAGCTTTAGCTCAGACCCACAGGTTCTGGTAGCTTGTGTTCATTATTTGTTTCCAGCTATCTTTTGATTTCTTGCTTGATTTCCACCATAACCCACTCATTTGTTCAGCATTGAGTTGTTTAATTTCCAGGTGTTTGATTTGGTTCTCTTCATTTGTACATGATTGACTTCTATCTTTAGTTCATCATGGTGTGAAAAGATAGTTGATACAATTTCTATCTTCCTGATTCTGTTGAGGTATATTTTGTGGCCCAGCACACGGTCTATTTTGGGAAATGTTCCATTGTGCGCACTGGAAAAGAATGTGTATTTTTTCTATGGGGATTTAAAGTCCTGTATAGATCTATTAGCCTTCTATTTCTTCCTTAAAGCCAGTGTTTCTTTGCTGAGTTTTAATCTTGTTGATCCATCCAGAGGTGATAAGGTGGTGTTGAAGTCTCCAACTACTATTGTGTTGCTAGCAGTGTCTTCCTTAAAATCTCTTAGCAGCAGTTTTAAATATCTAGCTGGTTCATCATTAGTTGCATATATGTTTAGGAGAACAATTTTTTTCTGTTTTACCTATCCCTTGATTAATAAAAAATGGTCTTCGCTGTCCCTTCGAATCTTTTTCCACCTGAAATCTATGTTGTCTGATACTGGAATGACCACCCCAGCTTTTTTGAGGGAGTTGTTTGCTTGTAGGATTGTTTTCCATCCTTTGACTTTGAGTCTATGTTTGCTCTGACTGTTCAGATGTGTTTCTTGTAGGCAGCAGAATGTTGGGTTCAGATTCTAGATCCATTTGCCACAGATTTTCTTATCTTACAGTAGCCCCTTTCGTCCTTCTTTTAAGTTTGGTCTTGAGTCTATGAAGTTCCTGAGCTGTTGTTTATCCATGAAGTAGTGGGTTGTTCCTTCAAGTTTGAGTGAGAGTTTAGCCAGATAAAGTATTCCTATTGACGTGTTCATTTCATTGAGTTTTTTTCACGGACTTGGCGGGTTTCCTCTGATAGGTCTGCCTTAAATATAAGGGGTGCTCCTTTGTATGTGATTTCCTTCTTTGACCTTGCTGCTTGCAGTATTGTGTCTCTATCCATGGCAATCATCATTCTGACTGTGATATGTCTTGGAGTCTTCTTATTAGGGTCTCTGTTGGCTGGCACCCTTTGGGTTCGTTGGATCTGGATGCCTGCATTCCCCCGTCCTGGAAACATTTCAGCAATGATTTAACTGTGACTTTTTCATTGGGGTTGCCTCCCGGTCTTTCTGGCACTTCTATGATTCTTGTGTTGTTCCTCTTGGCATCATCCCTAGGTCTCTGATTTGCCTTAGAGCTATTTTTGAGGTCTTTTCCCATTGTTTGTTGTAGCCTGTAAGCTTTTTACAGCTGTCTTCAAGCTCACTAATTCTGTCTTTGGCTGTAGCCATTCTACTGTTGAGGGCACCTACTGAATTTATTTCATTCACTGAGTTCTTTATTAGTGACACTTCTGATTGTAGCTTTTTTTTCTCATTTCTTCCTGTATTTTCTTGACTGTCAGTTCCACTGTTTCTTTCATGTCCTCCTTTAAGTGACTGGATGTCTGCTCTACTGTTTCTTTGAGTTCATTGAACATCCTCAGCATTTCATGTCTGAATTCTTTATTGGAGAGGTCATATTTGTGGGTAACCCCTGTTGAGGCTTCTGGACTCTTTTCTTTATCCTTTCCTTGTGGTGGGGATTTGCACTGTTTCTTCATGTTGTTGTGGTTGTATGGAGGTGGGACCTTCCAGTTCACTAGCATTATTCCCTCTTATTGCAAAAAAGGCTTCTTAATGAGCTCATTCAATGATTGGTTGCCTTTTTCCCCTTCCAGAGCACGTCCTTCCTCTCAGTTTTGGGTTGGGTTTGTTTTTTGTTTGTTTGTTTGTTTTTTCTTTTTGGGTCATACCTGGCAATGCAGAGGGGTTACTCCTGGCTCATACACTCAGGAATTAATCCTGGCGGTGCTTGGGGGACCATATGGGATACTGGGAATTGAACCTGGGTTGGCCACGTGCAGGGAAACGCCCTACCCGCTGGAGTGGTATCACTCCAGACCTCAGGTATTTTTCTTGTGACTTACATGTGGCTTCTAGTAAAGGTTCAGAGGATGTGTTCTTTTATATTGGGCTTGTACAGCTTCTTGTGTTCACCGGTATTTTGGTAGGATTGGAATAGGTAAGTGGACTATTTGCATATTGTGTTTGAGGTAGCCAGGGCGTTCTCCACAAAATTAGGTAATAGGGGTTGAGATGTGAATCCAGAGTGCTGCAGAGGAGAAAATGACAGTAGCAGCTGTAAGCGGCTGCCACCCTGGAGGCCACACCCTGTGTCGGGGGGTGGAGAGGGAGCCAGTGCATTCGCCAGGACAGGGGCACTGGGTCAGGAATGTCGAAGTACCTGGAGGGGAAGATGGAGACACTGGAAGTCAGCAGCCGGGGACGCTAGGGTAAGTTGGAGTGCAGTCGCCGGACTGCCCATGTGTGGGGACATGAGCACTGGCTCAGGAAAGTCAGCACACCTGGAGAGGAAGATGGAGAAGCTGGAAGGCGATGGCAGGGGGCAAGGGCCCCCCTCAGAATTTTTTTTTTAGTAGAAACAAGTAGTGTTGGGAGTAATGTACGGATTAAAGAGCCCTTATCTACTGTTGGTAGGAGTAACATCTGGTGCTGCCTCTGTGGAAAACAGTATGGAGATTTCTAAGAAAATTCAGAATTGAGTTTCCCTGAGATCCAGCAATTCCATTTCTTGACATCTAATTAAAGAACCCAATTATTTTTTCTCATTTTAAATTTAAACAAGTCTTGAGCTCATTCTAGGTGACCTCAGTACCACCCTCCTTCTTTGTCATATTTCATAAGTATTTCTACTTCTAAGTGGGGTTTCTTTGTTTTTTTGTAAAAGACCGTTTAATATTTTATTTCTAACAAGGCCATTTTAGTGGTCATGGGTTTCTCTAAATACTGTTTAAGAAGCTTATCACTGTGGCTTGTTCTTCATGCCTATGTTCTCTCTTGAAGACGTATCTCACTTGATTGTCTCTTTATATCTTTGCTTGCTTGCCACTCTGGAGTAGCCTGTGTTCTCTCTTGAAAATGTATTTATTTCCCTTCTTTTTCTCCACTCATATCTTTCTAAGCAAGTTTTGTTCAAGCAAAACTTTCTTGCTTCACTGAAAAAGAAAACCCAACAAAAACCAAATCCTTGTCACTTCTTCAAGTCTGAGTGCTGGCTTGGTCAGAAAGTGGGTACAGGGGCTAAGGCGCTTGTCCTGTACATTGCCAGCACTGAGCCTTGCCAGGAGCATAGAGCCATTAGTACCCTCTGAGCACCACTAGGTGTCACCATCACCGTCCTCCCATTGTTCATCGATTTGCTCGAGCAGGCCCGGTAATATCTCCATTGTGACAATTGCTACTGTGTTTGGCATATCAAATACATCGCGGTAGCTTGTCAGGCTTTGCCATTCAGGCGAGATACTCTCGGTAGTTTGCCAGGGTCTCCAAGAGGGGCGGAGGAATCGAGCTCGGGTCGGCCATGTTGGCCATTTGCAAGGCAAACGCCCTACTCGCTGTGCTATCGCTCCACCCAGGTGTGGTCCAGCCAAAAGCAAAGTGTGTGTGTGTGTGTGTGTGTGTGTGTGTGTGTGTGTGTGTGTGTTCATAGTTAAAGGGCAATGGATATCGTTTTCTTAGCACGCGCTGTAGCATATTAAATCGTTCATCGATTTGCTCGAGCAGGCACCAATAACGTTCTCCATTGTGAGACTTGTTACTGTTTTTGGCATATCAGATATGCCACGGGGAGCTTGCCAGGCTCTGCCGTGTAGGTGGGATACTCTCGCTAGCTTGCCGGGCCCTCTGAGAGGGACGGAGGACTCGAACCCGGGTTGGCCGAGTACAAGGCAAACTCCCTTCCTGCTGTGCTATTGCTCTAGCCCTTGCTTAATATAAGAAGATAAATCTTTTAAATCTAACTCTACCTTCTGTATCTAGGTTGGGGCAAACACGATGGATAATCCTTTGTTGAAGTACAGTGCAAAGGATTACTTCTTTAAAGCTGCCCTCTGTCATTTCATAGTAGATGAGTTGAATGCTAAGGTAAGTTGGCTTACAGTCCTGGTTTTCCCATACTAGTTACCCATGTAAATAGGCATTGAGTAGTGTTATTCTTGATATCACATCTTTTGGGGGGATATTTATACTACTAGTAAGACTAAACTGGTCTCGTTAAAAATAATGATAAAGATAGATGTGTGTTAACTGTAATCCTGTACCAGCTGTCAGAACTCTTAGAGATCTCTGCTAGCCATGTTTCCTTCAGTAGTTTGCTTTAAAGACAGTAAGGGACCAAAGGAGAGATAACTCCATTTGAGTTTTTAAATAACATTCTTTAAAAAAAAAAACTCATGAAATTGGAATGGAGATAGGGAAAAAATGAAAATCAGGTAAAAACTGAGAGATTACAGGCAGAGACTTGGACACTTGTTAGTGTATGGAATTAAAGAGCAATGAAAACACATTCTTACCTCTAGCCTTGATTAATGGCCTGTTTTGTTTGAAATCTGGATTGTGTCCGGGGAAAAACTTACCCATTTTTGTAGATGAAAACAGTGTTTTTCTGTGAGTTTTTAGAATTAAAATTAGTTCACATTGATTTCTCTACATCAGAGAAAATAATTTTTAGGAAAAATTACTTTTGGTGTTTCATTTCTTTAATTTGGTTGTTTTTGTTTTGTTTTGTTTTGTTTTGTGATGCTAAGGATTGAACCTAGGACTTTACATAAGACAGGGAATCTTCCTCTGTGTCACATTTCCAGTCCTAAATGCACTAATGAAATTTGAAAATTCAAAATTAATAGGTCTTCTGAATTGAGGTTAACAGGATTCTTAATAGGTAAATAGTTAAGTAGGATTATCACAGTTAAGATTATTAACAGTTAAGTTGGATGTATGTGATATTTTTTAAGGTTTAAATATAATCTTTTTGAATGTTTAAATCTTTGTTTTCTTAGTTCAGAGATGAATTTTAACAAGTGAATTTTTTTCTCTCAGCTGGCTCTTGAGAAATATGAGGAAATGTTTCCAGCATTTACTGATTCACGAGAATGTAAATTATTGAAAGTAAGTGATATTGTAACTGAAGGGAATAAAACCCTTTATTTGGGAGATTGGTTATAAAATTAAATTTTAATTTTATGAAATCTGCTGACTGAGGAGCCCTGGTTTTTTTCTATTTTGCAGAATAGTTTCAAATGCCACTCTTTAGGGACATAAACATTGTTTTCTAAAGTAGGCAATTTAGAAATTCAAACAAAATCCTATTCCTGACTTGGGGTAATTCTTGACTTGTACTTCAATATTTCCCCATCTTTATATAATATTTAATAATATCTGTCAGTATGATACTCAGAATTTCTTGTATTTAAAGTATCTGTTTATAGATGGAACTTTTTAGCTTACCGAATTTTCCCACATTTATCTTCTAGAAACTTCTAGAGGCTCATGAAGAACAGAATAGTGAAGCTTACACTGAAGCAGTAAGTTAAGCCTCTCTGATACACAACAGATTTTCAGGACATACATTACTTCTTTTCCTTTTCATTATGGAAATGCTGAATATTTGTTTGAACATGATTCTGTTATACCTAATTTGTATTTTGCTAAGGTTATGTTTTCTGTATCCCACCAATCTTATAATTAGTTACATTATACATAATGAATTTAGCTCTGAGTCTAATTTAAGAGTATTACATACTGTTATAATTGTTTGAAAGTTTTTCTTTTGAAAATGATCTGATGCACCAACAAGCATAAAATTAAATCAGTTACATACCATTTAAAATATAAGACAAAATTGTGAGAGTTTGCTATATTCTTATATAAAATATATGGAAGGAGTTTTTCTTTGTGTTCATTGTTTTTGTTTTACCATCTTCGGTTTAGAATCAAGCAGTTTCTCAATATCCTCCATTAATAAATATATTTATCATGGTTTTGAAAGGAATATTTTCCCTTTCTACTTTTGCTACCAAACTATTCTCATATTATTACAGTTCCATTTCTTGATAATATGTTGAAATGAGTTACAGGAATTCTGCTTCCACGCATGCAGCTACTTTCTCTGCAAGTATGGTGTTTTATTTGCAGTAATATTAGAGTAATATTAATTTTCCATGTTCACTCTCGATTTTATCTTCATATATTAGCATACAGTGGAATATAAAAGGCATAAGAATTGTTATTTATTCCAGAACAGGATAATAAACAAGTAAAAGGCAAGGCCCAGGGATTCTTAGCTGATGCAGGTTCTGGGATGTGACGCTGCTCTTGCCTTGTGAATCTGGGGATTGCCTGGGCCACCCTAGTGAGACTCAGGGACTTTCGGTGCTGCACCCCACATGTGGTGCTTAATGATTGTCTGCTGTGTGCAAGGCATGCATCTTAATTCCTTGCCCCCAAAGATCTCAAGCCTGCTCGGATTGGGACTGGGCCTCCTCCACCCAGATCCCCCATCTTCCAGTAGCTAGACAGTTACACCCACCAACTGCCATGTAATCCTACCAATGGGCAAGATCCAGAGACTATAAATCCAAGCCCCCAAAGTAAAGTTTTGAATTTAAACACTATTCTAACCTAAAATATAATAATAGCTGGAGCGATAGCACAGCGGGTAGGGCGTTCGCCTTACAAGCGGCCAACATGGCCGACCCGAGTTCGATTCCTCCGCCCCTCTCGGAGAGCCCGGCAAGCTACTGAGAGTATTTGATATGCCAGACACAGTAACAATAAAGTCTCCAATGGAGACGTTACTGGGCCCGCTCGAGCAAATCGACGATCAACGGGAGGGCCTTTACCTTTACCTTTACCTTAATAAAATTGTATTGAAGAAAGTTGAAGGATGTCACTGTAAATATTTAAAGAACTGGGAATCTGTTGTTTGTGTTTCTGTTTATTTTCATGGAGTAATTCCTGTTCCTTTTTCCTAAACTAGGTGAAGGAATTTGACTCCATATCTCGTCTGGATCAGTGGCTTACTACCATGTTGCTCCGCATCAAAAAGTCCATTCAGGGGGATGGAGAAGGAGATGGAGACCTAAAGTGAAACTTTTCCTGTCTTTGTGGCATGCAGTTAACTCCTCTTTAGTTTCATCTCAGGGCCAACTGATCTCCTGGGATGCTCTTTAATGGCTTTATTTTGTTGCACATGAGCCAAATGATGTGTTTTATTTAAGCTGTGTTTGTGTCACTGTGAAGCAGACAGATAGGAAGCTCTCCCTTGTATATTGTGGGTAGATGGGCTACTTTTAGTCTTATCAGGGACCTCAGGGCTTTTTGAGCCTATACTGTTGTCAGATCCTATCTTATAAGATCTTCTTATTTCTGTTATTTTAGTATTTCCAGAGCCCATGTTTAATTTCATCATGTAATTTTAAGTTGCAACCCAGTTCTACTAGACGCTTTGCCTGTTCTCTATAAACTGGCACCTGAATGTAGTCTCTAAATATATGTCATTTAAGATGGTTGTTAGGGATGAGTTTATGATTTTTCTTATTAGAATAGTTTTTTGTTTGTTACCTTGTGATTCTTTAAATTATGCTAGTGACCATCAAAATGCTTTTAATATTTCTCTGTGTGCTAACTAATGTGCATGCGAAAATTCAGGACTGGGTCTGATTCTGCTGAGAATCACTTACATTGTGAGAAAATGGAGCTTCCTGGCAGTGCTTGCTTACATGTGTGGATGAATTCAGGTCGGTTTAACTAATTTATACTTACCCAAACAATCTATAAGAAAGATAATTTTTACATACACAATCTTATTTTTTTTTTTTTTGAGTCACACACAGCAATGCTTAGTGGTTACTTCCTGGCTCTGCACTCAGGAATTACTCCTGGTGGTGCTTGGGGAACCATATGGGATGGTGGGGATTGAACCCGGGTCTGCCATGTGCAAGGCAAAAACCCTATCCCCTGTACTATTGCTCCGGCCCCAATACACTATCTTTAAGAGACTGAATTTTCCCTTTTTCTCAAAGCAGAGATAGTTTCCACTTTTGTGATGAGATTCCTTTCTTTATGTTAATATAAAGGTATTTTAAATGGGACATCCCTTTGTTCTCCTGTATATATTGTTTCCTACTTTGAGATGGTTTCTCTGAACCACAGACTTGTAAATCTTATCACAGCCAGAATATTATCTAAGTGAACACTTGAGAATATTCATTTATTCATTTATTGAATGTGATGGACTAGGGGAAATTTCTGTTTAGCTGGTGGAATTGCATAATGTGTTTGTATGACATGTGTTTATATAATACATGCTCTCCTATTTATGATCTTGATTCCTACCCCTTACGATATACACTGGCATTTTTCTTTAGACATAGGGCTGAGCCCTGTTGCCCGAATATATTTTTAAGTTTCTCTGCGTATTTTCAAGTTTCAGTAATTTGTGTTTGATATTAACTTGCTACCTACCAAACATACGTAACCTTTTTCCCCCTATGTTGAGACAGTGGTCATCTATGACAGCTAGTGAAATTTCCCATGGTATATATCAAATAGTAAAAAAAAATGAGTTGTGTTTTTCAACTTGGATTTGTAAAACTTTGTTGGAAAAAAGTAGAATTGGTTGTAGTCTCCCAGAGACTGCGTGGGGTAGAAGGCACAGAAGGTAAATGAGTCCATCGGGGATAAAGGAACAACAAGGAAAGATACAAAGGTGGACTAGGAGAGGCCCTGCCGTCGAGACTCTCATGGATGGCTATGATTAAGAGGCGAAGTATGTGAAGTAGAGGTGTCAGTGATGTCACTGTCACTTTGAGGTACACAGGATGGACCCTAAAGTATGTGCACTCTGGCATTTGGCTCTGAAATCTCTTGAGGATGATTTCCTTTCTTAAAAGGACTCGGATTCTTTAGAATTGACTGATACGTACACTTCAGTTTGCAATATGTTATTTATTAGAATCTCTTACGAAAAATAAGCAGAGAAAAAAAGTGGGGCCTTGCTACTATATCACATCTGTTCCCCAGGCAGCTTGGTGCTCTCTGGTGCAAAATGAGACCTGGCCTTCTTTTATGGCCTCTGTTTCTGCAGTAAAGACCAAATGTCTCAAGGCATTTCTATTTAGCTTTTATCATGATCTACCAAGAAGATACTATCATAATTACAGCTTTTTAAAAATAGCCTAGGTAACATTTCATTGTTGCTTATTTATATGGAAATAAACACTTGTATTGGTTTCTAAGTTAAGAATTCATTTTGGTGTTTTTAATACTTCACATGGAAAGAAAAATAATTGCAAGGACTAAAATAAAGCTGACAGAAAATAAATAGAAGGTTATAGGGGAAAGTCACATTAATAGCCAAATTTCCTTCCTTCAAATGCCCTGTCATATAAGATGATAGAGCTGTGATCCAGAAGCCTGAGTTAAGATTTCCAGATTTAGAGGAAGTTATTTATGAACAAAAAAAAATTTTATTTATGTCACATTTCTTGTAGTTTAGCTCATCTGGGGTTCACACAGAGTCAGTTAAAATTTCTTATTGGAAAGCTTTGCTTTTCTGTGGCACATTTTTATAGCTTGTGAGTTCTTTTTTTATTTAGTAACTTGAAAACAGTATTTTTGCACTTGTGGTGTGATGTATGATGGCGTCACTGTAACCAAAGTGTGTGCATTTATTGTTTCCTCTTATACTGTGTATTTAAAATGTCCAAATGCAAACCTTTGTGGCTTTCTTTGAAGGACTTGGCAACACGCATGCCCCCTGTGACCCACCTGCCTGAGGTGTGATCCCTGATCAGAAACAGATTTCTCCTTGTGAGGTTCTGGTTAGAGACTGCAGTGTTCTCCCTTATATCTGTGGGCAAACAATTCTAATAGGAAAATTAAATCACAGTAAATCTATCTTAGAGTATGTATGTTTTATGTACAGCAAATAAAGTGGAAATTATGAGTACTGTCTTGACAATTTTTTTTGTACCCTGTCATTTATTTATTTATTTTATTGAATCACCGTGAGAACAGTCACAAAGCCTTTTAGTTTAAGTCTTGGTCGGTCATACAATGATCAAACACCGATCCCTTCACCAGTGCACATTTTCCACCACAAAGAACCCCAGTATACAACCCCCCTCCAAAACACCCCCCACATGTGTGGCAGATTTCCACTTTACTCTCTCTGTCTACATTGATCACATTCAATATTACGACAAAAGACCCAACATTATTATTTGGAATTTTCCCCAACATTCAGACCTGCCCAAAAAACATCATTAAATAATTTGTTTTCTATTGCTGATTATGAAGAGTATATGATGTCGTGTGGCCGCAATAGTGTCCACGCAAATTTGGATTTCTGATATTTTAGTAATAAGCCTAGAGGGATTACTCCCAAAAGCCCCTGGGTTCTGAGATTGGTTTGTGTGCTTCTGGGATCGTGGTCATTCAGGAGCCAGAGGAGGCGTTAAAGGGTGGCAACCCAGGGCGTTGTCATGGCAGGGAGTAGGACCAATTGCACCCCCTATCCCACGAGGCCCCATGCAGTCTCATACCTGGCTGTTCATTCCAGGCTCTAAAAGTTGGAGGCCACCATGCCATCGCTGCAAGGGGGGACAGGCAGAGGGATAGACACCCTTCACCTCCCAGGGCGGCATAGCATCATAGTTAAATACACAGTCCAGATGCATTTCGGTTAGTTATATTTTGCTCAGATTTCCCCACCACCATTCAAGCCTGTCTTTCAGGGACAAACGCTAGATAATTTATTTTCCATTGATCCTGGTACCCGCATACTGGAGCCTTGCTTGTAGAAGCTCATAGTCACCGGAGTTCCATCCGGAGAAGGTGGGGAGACAGCACCTACCCCATCTGGGACCTCCTGGTGATATCGGCTCAGTATGGGGCCCAGAGAATTCTCTGGGAGTTGTGGGACCCGCCAACCAGTTTTCTTTTCTGCTGTGTCTGTCTTGAGAAATTTTTTCAGCTACATTTGCACAGATCAAGACCAACTTCATTTTCTTTAAGTTATTCTCATTTAAGTATGAGGCAAAGAGCATTAGTATTTCCTAGACTTGGGCCAGACAGTTAGTTCAGGGGTTAAGGCACTTGCTTTGAATGTGATCAACCCTGGTTTTGTCCCTGGCACCCCATGGTTCCCCGAGCAGCAACTGCATCTTTGGGAATTTGCACTGAACTACCAACCCAGTTGACCAAGAATTGCTGGGCTGCCAGACCTCCCGAGCACAGCTTGGGAGAACCCCAGGCCCAATTACTTACACACACACACACACAGACACACACACACACACACACACACACACACGAATGCGCCTTTAGACTCTTTAGACTCGTCAATGCAGTCTCATACCTGGCTGTTCATTCCAGGCTCTAAAAGTTGGAGGCCACCATGCCATCGCTGCAAGGGGGGACAGGCAAACATTAATTTATCTATGTTAAAAAAAAATCTCAATAACTCAGGGCCCAGAGAATAGATAATATGGTTCAGAGGCTAAAAGTGCTTAGCCCTTCACTTCCAAGTGTAAGGACATGAGTTTGGTCACTCAGGGTCCTAGCCGGTCTAGTACCTGTGCTGCAATAATGTGTGCAGATCCCCAGCACATAGCCTGGTGCCCGTGAACATTGCAGCTGGTATGACCCCCACATGTGGAGAGTTAATTACTTGATGAAATTCAGGGAACTAAATAGTTTAGCCAGCTAAGGGTTTCTGAAAGTAGTCCTTGGTGATTTTATCAGGCTTGCCCTGTGACTCTCTAAACCACACATTTTCATTCTTTCCTGCAGCCCACAGTGTCTAAAGCATAGTGTTTAATATATTAAAAAATTAATCCTGTGTGCTTTCTTGAAGGTTGAGGGAAGTAGGAATGTTTCTTAGAAGACTGTTAGAGGTGGAATGGTAAGGAATCCTGAAGTCACTCGGCTGTTGGCAGTGCAAGTGTTTAACTGTGGATGTGTACAGAGTTGTTAAATGCGTCTGAGGAGGGCTGCCCATAATAGCCACTCCAGCCTCAGATCCTGGGAGATTGTGTGGCAGTCATGCAGGTCAGTTTGTCTTATCAGAACTAACGCTGAGTACGTTCATAGTAACTGAAAGATCATTCAAATCATTAAAAATGAATGGTAACTTAAACCAACTTAACTTGAGAAGTGGTTGTTCATTCAGGAGTAAACACTTCAATTTGAGTTTATTATTCAAATAAAAGTGCCTTCCCATATTATTTGTTTCATAAGGCAAAGAAACCATCACGATGGTTTTCCCAGTTTGGGTAAGAGTTCCAAATATTAGCAAAGGTAAGTAAATGGTTTCTGGGGCTTGGCTAGTGATATGCTCAGTTGTTTGGAGGCTCTCTGAGCTGTAATTATAATCCACTTGGGTCATATTTCCCCATTTCTACATGTAAACAATCAGCATATCTCTCCTACTCTGTTATTCTGTTCAAATAAAATGAATGTCATCAAGTTAAGGGGATAAGCACACATACAATTTAACCTCCCAACCCCCAGCTTGACAAGGTCTGAAACTTAACATTAAATTTAACAGATTGAAATTTGTAATTTATATTCAAATTTATTGGGTTGACTTAACACTGAAAATCCGTTGTTAAAATCACCAGACCTCAACTTTTAAAATTGCTGCTATGTGGATGCTCTGGAGACTTGCTGAGTGAAGTTAAGAGAGAAACAGAATGATCTCTGGCATGTGAGATAAAAAGAAACAAAGTAGCAGTATAACAAATGCCCAAAGGCCACAGGTGCACAACTATTTTTCAGCAGCAGCTTAGTGGGAGGAA